CTTGGATGAGGCGTGATTGGTACTAATTCTTTTCCTGGCTTCAACTCCAAGTGTGATGGGGAGTAAGATGTTTAGCCTTGTCTAATCCAAGAATTGTGAGGTATCACGTTAGGGTAACAAACACCTTCTCAAATGGACCAAAAAAAGGCTGTACTCATGGCGCACAACAGCAAATTTTCGTCGCATCGGATGTCACTTTTGGTGGATGCTTTATGACAGAATATTTCTGAAAGGTTTTCTGAAAGGTCTCCCACGAGGAAGCATCCGAGTATGAAGTCGTTCGCCATCCCCGACGTCCTCGTAAAGCCCTTCCATGGCAGATTTTTCGGATGTGGACTGCGTAGAAGGACATTATGAAGTTGTTCAATCGATTGGGAGAACACAACAGTGGTGCACAATTTTCTTTCAGAGTTAAGCGTAGTCTGAAACTTTCGTTCCATTCTAGCGCGCATTTCAGCTTCTTACTGCAATACTTTCAGTGTATCATGTCAATGTCCCCGTTCCAGTTGCCAGAAAGCTAATGGAAGCAAGAACAAGAGGAGTCTGTCTACCAGGTCAGCATTCTGCTTGCTAAGAAAGACCTCCATACCTCAAGCGAACATGATATGAAGGAGCCTAACAACAATAGGAGTGCTCTACCAGTTTAAATGCGCAATAATCACCACAAGCGTAGTATTTCGTTTCAACTGTACGGACCACGACGGAATTGATGTTCATCGTACTCGAACATTCGCCCTACCCGAACGTGAAGGTGAGCATACGAAAAGGAGCGCAAGTGGAGGAAAAAAAGGAAAGAAATGAAGTCTCTCATACAGCGAGCGAGATAAGAGATAATGGGTGAAACTCCAGTCGGGGAGGGGGCACTCTATTGCTATCTTACCCGTAGCACTAGAGAACTTTGGGCTATCCAACACTATGGATAAGATAGTACAAAAAGACTTTGACTTAAAAATTGGTGTAAGAGGTGTGACACCAAGCAGCCCCACTGTGGTGTCACACCTTTTTCACCAGTTTTTAATCAAAGTCTATTTGTAAGGGTTACTGACGGTCCTAATCATGAATATGGTACTAATTATTCATGCTAACTCCATTTTGCGCGAATTTTGGAACGTCAACTCGAAATGCAAAAATTTGTCACCACGAGGAATCGAACTAGGGACCCCTTTTCTGGTATTCAGAGGGCCGTTCAGGAAAAATGAACCATGGTTCTGTGGTTCCCGCATGTGCCCCTATATCATGCAAAAGACCGTTTTCAAAAAGCTTGGCACGCCCTGAAAGACCTTCCTGGTTAGTTAAATGCAGCACCTTTTCTCCGTGACTCTCTCGCTTGAATCTATTTTTCTTTTGCGAAAAGGTATAATTTGTTGGACTTGGTGGCAGTGCTCATGTCAGCATTGTGGTATGCCTCTTTGCATGGAACTGTCCAAACGCGCTATCGCTACGAGGGCATTGTGGTTGCAGTCCATTAGAAGTCGCTTAAAAATGTTCTTCTTGTGGAATAGGGGACGATGTGACGCTTTAATCTGAAGAGAACGACTCCAGAATGCTTCAACATCCCCGTTTCCAAACTTTCTCCCCTAGGCTTAGCCCTGGGGATTGCTCCCCCATCTCGCGATAGCGCGTGTTCAAAAGTGAAATTTTCTAGTGGTTTCAGGAGCTTGCTGGCAAGAAACTGATAGAACGATGTCGCTCTAAAGCGACTATGTTTTGTCGACTACTTGCAAGAGGTGAGTATTCTAGAATAGTCATTTTCATACATTGTCGTGTTTCCTATTTAGTTAGTGGATGTGTATTCCGGCATAGTGGCGTACTTGGTTCCTGACCGTATTTCGTCAAATTTTTTACCCGGCATGATTTGCTTTTATTTATCTTATTTATTTATCGCCATAGTGTCAGAGGTGCAGTCATGCAGTAAGAGGATGATTTACAGCTGACTGTAATCTTGAAGTTGATATGCACATGAACAATGCATGCCATCACTAATTTGAATTGATACGAGTAATAAGAAGATGCCTATTTTTTTTTAACCGGAGTAATGGTAGAGATAAGGTCATGGGCCAGATGGCTAGGTTTGGATGAACTGGCGACTTGCAACACACCTTAGTGCGATTTTTCAGCCTTAATGATGCCTGCATGGGTATTCCCATTGCTGTGTTTGAAGGAGGACTCCACTATAAGACGGCAGCAGAGCCATGCCCGCCTCGCTTGCCGCGTGAGTCTGGCCGTTTAAAAGAGAAGCGTTAGAATTGCGAGGGCAGCACGTCGATGAGAATCACATTAATGCGCAAATCATATGCAGTTTGAGCGTCCCTATTCTCGGGTTCTGGACCATTTTAACGGTTCTTCGTCATCTCAACACCACAGCTACCTGACTTACCTCGACTTCTGGTAGACTGTGTTATGTCTTGTGGTTCATCGTAGAAAGCTCGCCTTATCAAGCAGTGGATTACGATGATCCAACAGCAGGTTTATAGGAGACTGGTGATACTCAGTGCTACGTCCAGCAGTAGAAAAAAAAGCGAAGAAATCCGTCAAGAAAACGCAAAACGGGACCCCTTTTTTTGGCCGTTAGTTTTCACTCATGAACAGGTAACAGCTCAGAAAGCGGACGTATGAACGAGTTCAGCGCAACGCGTTTGGTGACAGCATGCCAATCCATGCTCCAGTCGAGTTGCTTCAGTTGTGCCGCTGCTGGCAACGCAGCTCGTCCAAATCACCAACTAAACTAGTGGGCGGATCGCTTTTGGGGGCGGAGTGCTTTCGAAGTCCTGCTCAGCAACCAGCGCACCTTTCGTCGTGAAAGCGCTACACCTCGCTTCCCTGGCAGCCAAGTAACTGATTCGTGTGGTGCATATGCTTCCCGATGCGCTCCCTCTTTATCGTAATCGCTGCCTTTAAGCTCGGAGAATTAGATTCAGATTATCCTATCTCGTAGTGCTTACTGGGTCCCAGAATGCTCCATAGTAGCTTACATTTGTTATAGAATACTTCTATATGCCTTCAAGATGTGTGCTGCGCATATTTTTTATCAGGCAAAGTGTGTTGTGATTGCACCACGTGACATCAGATGCCATCAGGAGCACCACAATGTATACATCGATTTTCTGGCGGCCATCACATCGTGTGGTGCTAAATACGTACACCAATACGGCATGTGCTGCAACGGTAAACAAAGTACACCTGCTGAGTAGTATCATCACTTGCCATCTGGGAGGAAGGATGGGATTTACGCTGTTATACAGTAACGAAAAGTTTTTGTGAAAGAAGTCGAGAATTTCACAGCTTTCTGTTCAAAAAATTGAAACTTCTGGCTTGATCCGAAATTCATTAAAATGACCAACTCAAACTGTTCCTGCTGCGCTTTCAGCTACTCTTGAACAGAAGCAGTTTCTACGATGGCTTGAAGCGGAGCATTTCGATCTCGCTTTCACTCATATGTTTGACGTGTGCACCATTGGTCTCGTGCATAACGCCAAAATTCCCAGCTGGATCTGGCTCAACAGGTAAGTTGTTACATTGTTTCATCTGTAATCATTAAAATCAATGGAATTTTTTTCTTGTTCTTTTTATCAGAACTTCAAACAAAGCAATCTACGGTTATCATAGATGCGTAAGTAGTTCAACCAAATTGAGTTTCATAGAGCTGCCACAAAGCTAGAAAATGTGCTAGAACCCCGTGTATAGAAAGCTAGGGTCCTGTTACCAATGCTGTTATCAGCTGTTTCCTGAAGATAAAACTCGTAACGTAGTGGGTCCGCGCAGCGTAGTGTCCTGTCCCACGTACCGCTGTGGCCCGCGCCTTTTTGTCTTCCGTCCAGTGGCTCTTCTACGAAGCTCCACCAACGAAGACGAAGAAAGGTGGGCCTTTCGTTATGGTTTTTGGTGACTTTTTTGAATTTCGTCCTCTTTATGAGCGGTGCTATTCACGCTTGTGCTTTCATTTTCGGGCGATAGTAAAACATTTCGATCAAGGATGTATT